CCTTCCTTCCTTCCTTCCTCCCTCCCTTCCTCCCTCCCTCCCTTCCTTCCTTCCTCCCTCCCTCCCTCCCTCCCTTTCTTCCTTCCCTCCTTCCTTCCTTCTTCCACAGGCACTTTGATGGAGTTGGGCATCTCCCCCATCGTGACCTCCGGCCTCATCATGCAGCTCCTGGCTGGAGCCAAAATCATTGAAGTGGGCGATACCCCAAAAGACCGAGCCCTGTTCAACGGCGCTCAGAAGTGTGAGCATTAATTCTGGGTCCCGGGTGGAAGCTTCCTTTGGATCCCCCCCCCCTTAGGAAACGCAGCAGATTCGCTGCTTTAGCCTGTGTGGTCGTAAGACGGGGGAAACGATTGTGGCGTGGCTGTCGCTGGCTGAGCTGGGTGGTTTTCTTGCAGACGTTTCAAGGCCCAACTAGGTAACATCTTCAGTCCTAATGAGGGAGTAGGGTTTGCTCTCTGTTTATATGCAGTATAACACCACTCCTTTTTAGCACTGAAGGTGTTACCCAGTTGGGTCATGAGACGTCTGCAAGAAAATCACCATGCTCAGAGAGCACCAAGGACAGTACTCCTCCTCCTCTTCTCCTCCTCCTCCTCCTTCCTTTTCTTCTTCTTTTCTTCTCCTTCTCTTCTTATCCTCCTTTTCCTCTTCTCCTTCCTGTTCCTCTTCCTTCTCCTTCTTCTCCTCCTTCTCCTTCTTCTCCTCCTTCTCCTTCTTCTCTTCTTATCCTCCTTTTCCTCTTCTCCTTCTCTTCTTATCCTCCTCCTTTTCCTCTTCTCCTCCTCCTTCCTGTTCCTCTTCCTTCCCCTTTTCTTCTTCTTCTCCTTCTCTCCTTATCCTCCTTCTTTTCCTCTTCTTCTTCTCCCTTTTCTCTACTGCTGCTTCTCTTCTTCTTTTCCTCTTCCTCCTCCTCTCTGCAAACTCCATTCTCTTCTAGCCCTGATGATGCTCCCTAGTTGGGTCATGAGACGTCTGCAAGAAAACCACCGAGCTCAGAGAGCGCCAAGGAACCTTCACTCTCCTCCTACTCCACTCTGCAAACACCACTGTCTTCTAGCACTGATGATGTTACCTAGTTGGGTCATGAAACGTCTGAAAGAAAACCACCAAGTTCAGAGAGCACCAAGGACCCCACAGTCCTCCTCCTCCTCCACCCCCTGCAAACCCCCTCCCTTCTAGCACTGATGATGTTACTTAGTTGGGTAATGAAATGTCTGCAAGAAAGCCACCAGGTTCAGAGAGGACCTCCTCCTCTTCTTCCTCCTCCTCCAGTCCACAAACCCCCCTCCCTCCTAGCACTGATGATGTTACCTAGTTTGGTCATGAAACGTCTGAAAGAAAACTACCAAGTTCAGAGAACACAAGGACCCCACAGTCCTTCTCCTCCTCCTCTTCTTCCTCCTCCTCCACGCCACAAACCCCCTTCCCTTCTAGCACTGATGATGTTACCCAGTTGGATCATGAAAAACGTTTGCAAGCACCTAGCATCCCCCCCCACGCCAATCCTGTGCTACTACTCTCTCACTCTCTCCTCCTGGACCGTAACTGTTGGTTCCCTTGTTCTAGTGTTCGGCATGATTATCACCATTGGCCAGGCCATCGTGTACGTCATGACGGGGATGTATGGGGACCCTTCCGAGATGGGGGCCGGAATTTGCCTTCTGATTATCATCCAGGTACGTCCCTCCATCACACAAACACCCCGGATTCTTTTTTTTATCGCTGGCCCTTCTTAAGATCTCTTCTGGGTAGCTTCCGGTGTATCCGTGGGGCGAGGGGGGGGCAGGGAGGGTGTTTGATGCCAGGCACAGCAAGCCGGGACGATTTTGAAAGCGACAAGATACGTAGAGGTAGTCCTCCAGTTACGACCACAAACGAGGCCAAAGTTTCTATCGCTGAGTGAAGCATTTGTGAAGTGACTTTTGCCCCGTTTTACGACTTTCCCTCGCCACGGTTATTAACTGAATCCCTGCAGTCCTTAAGTCAGTCCCGCGGTCGTTAAGCGAATCTGGCTCCCCCCCCCCGTTGATGCTACCCTGCGACCGTCATAACTATGAACCGGTTGCCAAGCGTCCCAATTTTGACCACGGGAATATGGGGATTCTGCAGCAGCCATAAGTGTGGAAATACTTGGAAGTCACTTTTTTTCAATACCGTCGTAATTTCAAATAGTCACTAAGCAAAACGTCGTAAGTCAAGGACTACCTGTGTGTCCCAGACTCCGGATGGCGTCATTTTTAAATTGTCTGATCTTCTCTGAGCAGTCGTGTTTCAAAGTAGAGAAACCATTTCAATTTAGTTCTCTTGGGCCACTGATAAGCAGCTACAGAAAAATCCATGTTGTTGTGTCGATCTTTTTCCTTTTCTGAATACATGGATTTAAAAAAAGAAGCTTTGGGAGGCTTAATTTTAATCCTTAAAATAATAAAAGTGTTCAAATCAAATGTCACTTGGTTCGTGAGGCTGAAAGAAGGAAGGAAGGTTAAAATACAAGTTAAAAAATTGTAAAAACCGCAGGTTAAAAACTTTGCTCACCTGTTGTAAAGCACATGAATGACGCTTTTTTCCCCCCTCCAATTGCTCCACAAAATATTTTCTAGGCAAGTAAGTTTAATTTTTTTCAGATCGTTTTAAAAATAGGCATTACGTATGCTGGATGAATTTGATTTGACACAGTTGTACAGTTCTGTCTCTTGCTCGAGTTTTCTCTGAAATCCTTAAACACGGTGGCCAATTTGTAAATTTCAGTACAACAGAAGGAAAAGTGTTGATATTGTGAATTAATGAATTGCTCCCCCAGGCCAAATAAAATGAATTTCATCCGTCCTTTGTAAGGCATCAGTTGAAAAACCAGTGGGATTTAAAAAAACCAACAAAGTAATCTAACCTTTGTGTATACCCACTAAACCTAGAATTTTGTGTCGTAGGAATTCTTAAGAGTAGTGTAAAAAAAATGTTCTCTTTGCTATTTTTTTGGCATTTATTATGCGCTACCGGATGGCTAGGATTAGATCTCCATCAAAAACAGAAGAGCTTTCAAAGGACAGAAGTTTTGCCAACTTTAAAAAAAAAGAATTATTTTCCCATGGAACTTCTGGAATTAACAAAACTTTCTTTCCATAATCAAAATTTCAGAGCATTCAGACTGACCGGTACCTGGCCTCTTGCTCAGAGGTCAGAAGCCAAGCAGATCAAATTAACATTCGAATGGGAAATATAGGAAATTGAAAAAAATAACATAAATTAGAAAAGTGACCATTGGGCCCTCCCTATTGTTACTTGAGGCCTAGCATCATAAGCCAAGAGGCAGATTCCTTGGGTGTGTAATCAAATTTGGCCAAATGAATTGCAGGCAGTCCCCGATTTAGGACTACAATTGAGCCCCAAAATCTCTGTGGTTAAGTGAGACGTGTTAAGTGGGGTTTGTTCCATTTTACGACCAACCTCGCCACAGTCGTTAAGCGAAGCACTGCAGTTGATAAGTGAGTGGCACCGTTGTCGAGACATTTGTTGAGGGAGCTTCGCCCCATTTTACTACCTTTCCTGCCCCCCCCCGTTGTTAAGTGAATCACTGCAGATGTTACGTGAGTCACCCCGTTGTTATGCAGATCTCTCACAGAACTGGGAGGGGGGGTGGATTAGATTTTACCACTGATCCTAAGCGTCCTGAATTTTGGCCCCGTGATCCTTGGGATGCTGCAAAAGTCGTAAGTATAACAAACGGTCCTGAGCTCCTTTTTCCCAGTGCCATTGTAACGTTGAACGGTCGCTGAGTGAACCGTTGTAAGTCGAGGACTACCTAAGTTCCATACGAATCAAGATTGGGCTCTTCTTAGTTCTTAGCTCCAACTCAGGACTGTGGCATCCGTGGAAGAAACGTTGGCAGGGCAAGCGAAGGGGATTTATTTCTGAGCAAAGGGGGAGGGGTTTTGGGGGGGCACAGAGTTATGGATCTTTTGGACTTCCCCCCCCCCTCCACAGTTGTTTGTTGCTGGCTTGATAGTCCTGCTGCTGGATGAGCTTCTCCAGAAAGGGTATGGCTTGGGATCCGGCATTTCCCTCTTCATTGCCACCAACATCTGTGAGACGATAGTTTGGAAGGCCTTTAGCCCCACCACCATTAACACGGGCAGAGGTACGGTACTCTTTTCCTCACGGCTGATGCCTTGGTGGGTTGCATGCTTGGTCGGCCTCTGGCGGGGAGCAGCCTAGAACCGGACACGAGAGGTAGCTCTAGATCGGGGGTTTTCAAACGGCGTTCTGGGGCACCCTAAAAACTGCATTTAGAGAACCTTGCAAACTCTGTTCTAGAGGACCCTACAAACTCTGCTCTAGATGACCCCACAAACTTCGTTTGGAGAACCTTACAAACTCTTGTGGGTGACCCTACAAACTCTGTTCTAGATGACCCTACAAACTGTTCTAGGGCACCCTGCAAACTGCATTTGGGGAGCCTTATAAACTCTGTTCTAGATGACCCTACAAACTCTGTTCTAGACGACCCTACAAACTGTTCTAGGACACCCTACAAACTGCATTTAGAGAGCCTTGCAAACTGTTCTAGATGACCCTACAAACTGTTCTAGGACAACCTACAAACTGCATTTAGGGAACCTAGAAAGTGTTCTAGATGACCCTACAAACTGCGTTCTAGGACACTACACTGGTAGAAGATCCTGCGAACTGCATTTAGGGAACCCTATAAACTTACGTTCTAGGGGACTCTACAAACTGTTTCTAGATGGCCCTACAAACGGTTCTCGGTGATCCTGCAAATGGTGTTCTAGATGACCCTACAAACTCTGTTCTAGGGAACCATACAAATTGTGTTCTAGAGGAACCTACAAACTGGGTTCTAGAGGATCCTACCCTTCCAAGTGAATTGGACATAACCCATTTTCCCTCCCTAAAGTTTCATCTTTTGAATCAAGCATGCGGGATTTTTTTTCCCCCAACCAAGGTCCACAGCCTAGAAAAGTCTGAAAATCCCCTGCTCTAGATAGCTCTGTCTTTCAAAAAAGAAAGAGAATCTGGGGAACACGTTGGCCATCTTCCCTTCGCACCTGGGCAAGGGTTTTTTCCCCCTCAACAAGGTGGGTGTAGGAGCCTTCCCCTGTTCCAGAAACCCTCCCAAATTCTGGGGTACCAGAACGAACTCATGGCGGGGGGGGGTGTGCCACAAAATAACACGTGAATCTCAACCTCTGTACGACAACTGCGTGAACTCCAAACCTAGGAGTGTGAAAAACGGCCCACAAAACACCTCAAAACGGTCAAAAAACAGGTATGCACACACTGTCCAGCTGTTTTTTGGGTTTCTGGCGCTCCGGCACACGCGCACGCATGTGTATGCACACGGGTTCCAGTTTGGCACACGGTGCCGAAAACTTTCTCCATCACTGCTCTAAAAAGATGCAAATGACTAGCTATCTCCAAGGAATATATAAATCCTTCTGTCGGGGTTCCAAATAGCCTCCAAAATTAAATCCGAGTCCGAGGCAAAGGATTCCTCAAAGTCCCAATTGATGAAGAGAGCCACGTTGGCACATCTGGGAAAACCCGAATCTGAAAGCTTCCCGGTTTCCCCCATCCAGTTGAAAGTTCAAGATCTTGCCCCCNCCAGACTGTGGAGGCGATATGCTGACTCTGTAAACCGCTTAGAGAGGGCTGAAAGCCCTACGAAGCGGTATATAAGTCTAACTGCTATTGCTATTGCTATTTGTCACTTAAAGCTAGCAAATATTTTGTCTTAATAAGCTATATCTAATTGTTCTGACGAGAGGGACAATTTGTGCAGAAATATTTATTTGGGTAAGTGAGGAAAGAGAAATAATAATATGAGAAAATTGCTTTGGATATGACGAATCATAAAACATCATTGAACTGCTACTGATATTTCTTACAGACCGATAAAGACCATTTTTTTATACCGGTAGTTCTTGAATTACAACAGTTCATTTAGTGCCCGAAGTTAAAGTGGTATTGAAAAAAGTGACTTATGACTGTTTTTCATACTTATGACCCTTGCAGCATCCTCACGGCAAAATGATTCGCATTTGGATGCTTGTCAACTGATTCATACTTATGACGGTCGCAGTGTTCTGGGGTCATGTGATGCCCTTTTTACGACCTTAGCGACAAAAATTGGGGGCTCAAATTTCTGAACATCAAATGATGCTCAAAATCGATCCAGCCCTGTTTTGTGGCATGAAAGCGAGACAAATACTTGCAGGCAGTTAAGACGGGTTCTCTCCACCAATTAATACTTGGCACGTTCTTTTATTCTCACTTCTATTATCGCTGTAACGTATATCGTGCCTTTTTTTTCTTTTCTTTTTCTTTCTTTCACAGTCAAATTTCTGGAACTCATTAAGCCCTTCTGCGCCGTTTTGCCCGAAATCCAGAAGCCTGAAAGAAAAGTAAGCGGCTCGACTTTGCTTCTGCAACATTTACGGAAAGCGTTTTAAGTCTATAAAATTCTAGGAAATCAGGTGGTGGAAAGAAGACATGGGGAATTTGAGTGCCGGGTCTGTAATTTTCAAACATCAAAATGAGATTATGGAAGTTTGGGTACATAGTGTTAAGTATGTCTGAAAGTGAATTCTGCTTATTTCTGAGTCTCTCTGCAAACAGATTTCACTGTTTTTCGGAGTATAAGATGCACCCAAGATTTTGAAGAGGCAAATTTTTAAAAAGTTTTTGCACTCTACAGATCTCTTAAAAATGGCCCGTTGTTTTTTTTGTCAAAAAAAGGGCACACATAACTTTTAGGAGGCTTGTAGAGTGCTTCTGGGGGCTAGGGGGAGGCAAAAATGAGGCAAAACCAGTCCTTTTTTTGCTCATTTTTGCCCTCCCCAGCCCCCAGGAGCACTCTGAAAGCCTCCTAAATGCTATGCACGGGCATTTTTGCAAAGGGAGCAGGGGTTTCGGGAGGCCAGAAATGCTNCTATCATGTCTTCCCTAGTCTTTCTTTATATCAAACTCGAGAGATCCAATTCCTTCAACCGCTCTTCGTATGTTTTAGCCTCCGGTCTAAACACCCTCCGGAGGGGGGGGGGAGGTTAAAGTAAGGGGGTGCCTCTTGATTATGCTGAGGAAGCAGGGACCGAGTTAGGGCATCCCCAAAGGAATATTCTGGAAGACCTGCCTTGATACCCCACTTGTGTTTCTCGGTGCTGCTCGTGAGAATTTGTCCACATTGCATGGGAGAATTTGCATGCGTTGTCCAGCCGTGTTTATTCACTACATGGGTTTTGCATGAAATTTTGCTTGTTGAGTCTCGGGGGGGAAAAAGACTTTTAAGACTTTCAGCACGATTCATTTTAAACTTATCAAGTCTGCGTCGTTCAATAATGACAGCACCCCAGTCCAGGTAGTCCTCGACTTTACGACCACAAACGCAGCTCGAAACTCCTGCCACTGAGCGAGACATTTGCCAAGTGAGCTTTTGCCCCCTTTGACGGCCTTCCTTGCCACGGCTGTTAAGTGAAACGCTTCAGCTGTTAAGCTGGATCAGCGAATCTGCCTTCCCCAATGATTTGGCCGATCAAAAAGGCACAAAAGTGGATTCCTGTGACCCCCCCCCCGGGACTCGTCGTAAGCACGAGTCAGTTGCCAAGCGTCTGAATTTCAATCACCTGGCCACGGGGATGCTGCTGTTGCAATCGTCCGTGTGAATCACCCTTTTTTTTCGGGGCCGTCGTAATTTAAAGCGGCCATTAAGTGAACTGTTCGTAAGTCGAGAACTCCCTGCAATTCCCATTTTGTTCCTTTTCTTTCTCGAGTCCTGCATGAGTTCCCTTCGGCTGTCTATGCGGCGCTCGTACGCCAGAGTTGTCGCCACGTCCACAACCTGATTTGTGGGGTTTTGGGGTTCCCTCCAGGTACGGAATTCGAGGGGGCCGTCATTGCCTTGTTCCACCTCTTGGCCACGCGCACCGACAAAGTCCGCGCTCTGCGGGAAGCCTTTTACCGCCAGAACCTGCCAAATCTCATGAACCTGATCGCGACCGTCTTTGTCTTTGCCGTAGTCATATACTTTCAGGTAAGGGGCATCCGGGGAAGCGGGGCGTTGGGGGGGGGGGATGTTGCGTTAAGAACAGGAGGAAGTGCGTTGAAATGTTTCCGCTTAGTTGCGGGATCTTCCGGACAATCACGTGGTCCGAAGTCCCCGAAGGCCTCCTTGGTTTCTGCGTCTTCGAGATCCGCTTGCCGGCCGCGATCCCTTTTTCTTCCGCTTCTTTCCACCGCAGGGATTCCGAGTTGATCTCCCGATCAAGTCTGCCCGCTACCGGGGTCAGTACAGCAGCTACCCCATCAAGCTCTTTTATACTTCCAACATCCCCATCATCCTCCAGTCCGCCTTAGTGTCCAACCTCTACGTCATTTCGCAGATGCTGTCCGTGCGCTTCAGCGGCAACTTCCTGGTCAATTTACTTGGCCAGTGGGCGGTGAGTAGCCAGCTCTTCCTACAACGCAGGCTTCAGTCCTCGGCTTAATGACTGCAGCCGGAACACACACACACACCCCATTTCCATTGCTAAGCGAGACGTTGGTTAAATGAGTTTTCTACGGCTTTTCTTGCCACTGTTCTCAAGTGAATCGCTGCGGTTGTTGAATTAGTCACACAGTCATTAAGTGAATCTGCCTTTCCCCCTTGACTTGGCTGGTCAGAAGGTCACAAAAAGGGACCCACCCCCTCAGGACGCGGTGACCCTCACAAATACTGGTCAGCTGCCAAGCGTCCGAATTTTGATCGTGTGAGCATGGGGAATGCTGTAACGGTTATAAGTGTGGAAAGCGGTCGTAAATCACTTTTTTCAGTGCCATTGTAACTTTGAACGGTCTGTAAATGAACTGCTGTAAGCCGACACAGCTATTTGTTTAGTGGCCGTTCAAAGTTACGACACTGAGAAAGGAGGGTTGCGACCGTTTTCCACACTTTACGACCTCTGCGAACATCCCCATGGTCACCTGATCCATATTCAGACACTTTGGCAACTGGCTCATATTTATGACGGCTGCAGCATTCCCCGGAGTCACCTGATTTCCCCTTTGGCAAATCTTCTGACCAGGAAATTGAGTGGCTTTGCTTAATGACCGCTTGATTCACTTAACACCATTGACCAAAAAAGGTTCGTGAAACAGGGCAAAGCGCAACAAGCAGCTCACTTAGCAATGCAAACTTTGGGCTCCATTCCGGTCATAACTCGAGGACTACCTGCAGCACCTTCAAAGCAGAAACGTTTTATGTCTACATGAAAACTCCTGTTTTTCACACTCTCCTTCCTTCCCAGGACGTTGGCAGGAGTGGGCGGGCGCTAGACAGAACAGTATTGTGCAGGGTTGGCTGGTGCCCCCTTCTGGTGAAAATTGATCAATTGGGTAGTATAATATACCATATTTTTCAGAGTATAAGACATACCGGAGTATAAGACGCACCTTAGTTTTTGGGGAGAAAAATAGGAAGAAAAAAAATTCTGCCTCCCAGGTATTCATTTTTATTCCCATAACACCAGAAAATCCAGCAAGCACAATAGTATAATAAAACAACACTTTTTGCCACTTTTTTCTTTCCCCAGGCAGCCGGGGAAACTCTTAATAAGCTTAACTACATATTTGGCCGTTCAGCCAAAAGCACTTCACACCTGGCAAAAATGTAACAAAGCAGAATCAACAAACCAGCCCAGTACTTGCCTGAAGGAAACCATTGAGAAAGCTGATAGCCGAGAGGAATTTTGGCCTCTCCAAGCTGGAACGTGGGAAATTTTTCCAACAGTATGCTACAGTAAAAATATTCAAATCATTTTTTCAGCCCTAATGAGGTGCTAACGAGTGAAGCCACTCATTAGCACCTCATTTAGGCTGAAAAAAAACCTTCCAAAAAGCTACATTTGGAGTATAAGACGCACCCAAATTATCAGCCTCTTGGGGAAGGGTGGAGAGCGTCTTATACTCTGAAAAATATGGCACTTATTTAAAGATGGGTTTTCATTGATCCCTTATTGACTATATACTTGATAACAAACATTGGTTTTATTGTTTATATATATTAATATAATATTAATATTTATTGTTAATATTGTGTGAAAATTTTCCTTCCCCTCTTAATTGAATGATATTTGATAAAAGGAAGGGGGGGCTAAGGAAAAAGAAAAAAAATTACCATGTCTTTGGATTAAAAAAAAAAATAGAATGTACATATAGAAAGCTTCTTTTGTGTTCCCAATAGAAAGTCCCTGTAGAATAGTATGTCTTCATCCCTCAATACGCAATAATCAAAATAATGCATTTTTAAAACTTTCAAATTAAAAATTCAAGTTTTCCGCTCTCCTTCCTTCCCAGGACGTTAGCGGGGGCGGCCCAGCGCGCTCCTATCCGGTGGGGGGTCTCTGCTATTACCTCTCCCCCCCGGAATCCATGGGGGCCATCTTCGAGGATCCGGTCCACGTGATTGTGTATATTGTATTTATGCTGGGCTCTTGTGCCTTTTTCTCCAAGACGTGGATCGAAGTGTCCGGATCTTCAGCCAAAGACGTAGGTGGTTTTGCTGTCTCTTCCCCCCCACCCTCCCTCCTTCCCCTTTGGCCCCGGAGCGGGTGTCAGATTGAATGCTCTCTGCGCATGTGCGAAGGT